TTATTGATCATTAATTGTACATCAAAACATAAACATTAATGAAATTTTAAGTTAAAAAAATTTGTAAATATATTTAAAAAGACATTAAAAATATATTAGTATAAACAGTTTTTGAAATATTTTATTTAGTATTTATTATATTATTATTATTTATATATATTAGGTTATTAGGCAACTATGCATACAATGCTAATATTTTACTAAATTACTTACATACTATCAATATTTTATATCTAAGAGCTGTCTAATGAAGTTGATGTGTAAATACAAAATTTAAGAGCATAAAAATTTGGAATATAAAGTTATTTTACGTTAATTTTACTGTTCCGTCAATATATTTAATTTTTTTAAGTACGAAAATAATGACTTTTTAGCAGATTTTCTATGTCAATTTTCTAAAAATGTGATACCTCCAAGATTTTTCTAAATATGAAAATGAAGTGTCCAGATGCCCCACTTACTATATTTGTTAACATTTTTGGGGTACTCGGATAGTAAACTTAAACCTTAAACTTCTGACCTGTGCTTATTACTCATACAAAAACCTAAAAACTTATTACAATTTTTTTTTCATCGAAAATAAAACTTGATATTATCTTACTCAGAACGTGATTTGAAAATTTTTGCAAAAAGATAGTTTTAACTTTAATTTCCCAATTAGTTTTTAGCGGTAAAATTTTCTTTATTCCGCCTACAGTAGCTTTCGCCTTTCAATTGGCGTCCGCAGTGAGAGTTTTTTTTGGAGGCAAAATGTTTTGGAGGCCGACGCTAAAAGAGAGGCGGAAGCCAATGGCGGAGAAGTAATTTCTGACTCAAAACCATTTGGAGGTGTATTTCAATAGCTTCTGCCTCCCAACTGGCTGCGGCCGCCAAATTGGAGGCGGAAATATTTGCCGGATGTAATGAAAAATATTTGCACGTTTGTCTTGAAGTTAACGAGCTATTAAAATATTATCTGAGAACAAATATAAAATAATTGACATCAAAGTTTTGTTTTATAGGATTTATTGAGTATTTAAAAATTTTATAAAAAAAAATTATAATTTTGTCAGAGCAGTTGTTTTTCTTGGACTATCGAATAAATTTTTAACTATTAAACGTTGAAACCTTTAATCGCTTAAAACGTTAATACGTGTAAAAGTAGGAGTCTATATTTTTAAACGTTTTAAAAGTATAGAGTAAAATAAAAATAATATTTATAAAACTATAAATATTTAAAATTTATAAACTTTATTTTTTTAATAGACTAAACTTTAAGCGTAAAACAGCGTGGTCGCACATTTTTAATATTTAGCAGATATTTTTTTAATAACTTTTACAATATCCAATTATTAAAAATAAGTATTTAAGGTTACAGCAAATGATATATATAAAATAGATAAAAATTTTAGCGTTTCAATTTGTTTTAAAAAACTTCAACCAAAATCAGTCAGTTTAATTACTTAATATATATAATTTTTTTTAAAAAAAGAATTATGAACCAATAGCATAGAAGTAAAAGGTCCAAATTAATTTATCAGTTTAAACAAAAAAATTAGAGTTTTTTTAAATACTTAACTCTTTTGAAAATAATCATATAGAATGACACTTTATGCTCACACCGTGAGCGTCTTATGAGATGTAAGCCCTCTATTTGTTCTAAAAAATGCTGAAAAAGCATTGTAAAATATAAAATAAAATAAAATTATGGCATGATAAAAAAAGAAAGTTAGTAAAGATTAACACTGGAAACCAATTTATCTGTTGCTAATTTTTTATCAAGAGTATTGTTAAAAATAATCAAAATCAGTAAGAAAAGACAATTACTGCAAAGAAAATTAGCTATAACACGAATTAACAAAAACATAATAGCTGTCGGTGCAACCAAATTATGTAATTCGACCAGAAAATTAAGCTATTCTTACCTTGATTGGGATAAACTAATTTCTTATAACTAGTAGCTAATGATCAAATAAAAAACTTAAAATATTTAAAGTTTATTAAGTTAAAACCATATTTTAACATTAAAAAAGAAAACATATGACAGTTGGTAGAGCAACAAAGTAGAACTAAAGAAATAGAATAACATCTAATTTTAAAATGTTTCTAATTCATAATATTTGCAGTTAAACATGAAAAATAACTCGACCATCACACAATAGTAACGGCAAAGTTATAAAAACAAACAAAAAATAAAATTAAAAAAAATAATTTAGTAAAATGGTAATTTTTTTAAAAAGTTTCCTTTTAATTAAAAGCAATGTTTCTATGAACAAATAAGAACACATGGATAAAGAACATAAACAGCGAAAAATTGATTTTTAAGTCCTGCCATGTTGTAAGTTATAAGATACCTATGAGTACTTACAAGATACATATTAGTACCTAATTCAGTAATAACTGTTGTTATGAAAATTATCAACTTCAGTTTAAAATATTTACAAATTTTAAAAGATTTTGTGATTACTTTAGACTGCAGTAGAGAAATGACAACATATCATTTTGGCACAGAGGGTCATAAACAGTCACAGCAGCTTTTAAATCATTTTAATATTTTGCATTTTCTGCTAACTTAAATTTTGATGGTACTTAGTGTAAAAATAAAGTAAATAACTTTTCAATAAAATTTTTTTATAAACATATTTTAATATTAGTTTAAATTAATACTAAAAGAAAAAAAATTTGGTATTTTTTAACATAAAAAATTTATTTATTTACACACAAAATTTAAAAAATATATCAATAAATGTATAAATATCGTTCTAAAAACATTCAAATATCTTCTCTATTTGTTGATGTAGTTAAGTATTAAGGGGAACTCTTATTGCCTGTTTTATATATAGAGATTTTTTATTTATTTATTTAGAAATTGACAATTGTTCCCCTTCATTATGAAACCAGTGTCATAAGCTATTACGCACTAAGTTTAGAAAGATTAACGAGGGCGTAGTAAAATAGCTGTAAAACTCTAAATTTCCTTAATGCCTTTATATTGGGTAATTTAACTTTTTTTTTTTTAATAAAATAAATTTAATAAAATGATTTGTTTTGAATTTAAAATTAGAATTTTTAGTTATGTTTTTAAAAAAACACATCTTTATAACCCGCTTACTGGATTTGAAAAATCAAGGTCGCCGCGTGACGTGCTTAAATCAGTTTGTTTTTTTTTTTTTTTTAAATTTTCTTATCTAATATGCAATACAAAACTATTTCATATTTATATTTAAAGTTTATCGTGTTCTAAATATATATAGATATAACATTCCGCTTTTCTTTAAGCAAACTAAACTTGTTTGTAGAAAACTTGAAAAGTGAAACTATTAACCTTTTTGAAACTTTACTTTTTCCATATCTTAATATTTACATGAGTTAAATATTTACATAGACTTTTGTTCAAATTTTAATATAAAAAAGTATTGAGAGGCTCTTTCTCCCTATTGTCTAGGATTCAATGGCTGCCACGAGTTTCGTGCAAACACGCACAAATAAGCATTAATACTACTACTATTAAATTCAGCAATAGTATATAGTGATTTGTTCAATGACATCCTTTGTAATGCATGTTTATCAAACTTAAAAATAAAATTGTTAAATGGCTTGGTTGTGGAACATGCTACATTTAATTTGGTTCTGAAAAAACAGAGGTTTTTGAGATTAACATTATCCTTGTTAAATAATTGACCCGGACTTTTTTTTATTGTCACTGAGTATATTTAAAAAAAGAGTCTTATTTAAATTACTTAACTTGATAGCATTAAAATTATTGCGAAAAAACAAAAAACAATATATTTTTAATATATATTTAATAATATATTTAAATAATAAAAAAAAGCAACTCAAAAGTTGTAATATGTTTTTATATAAAATTTAAAAAAACATAACACTTTTAAGCCACCTCTTCTTCTATTTCTTCGCAAGAACTAGTAATAGCACCAGTATTATCGTTGAATCGATCATTAATTATTAGCAATTATTAATTAATCTAATTATAAAATAACCTATACCTACTTTAATTTTTAATTTTTCTATAAAGTTAAAAGCAAATAAAAAGTAAACAGTAAAAGTTAATGAAATCCTAATAACAGATTTTTAATTAAAAAAATACTGACATTATTTCTCAAATGCTTTGTCTAAGCAATAATTCACAATAAATGCACTTTTATTAGAACCAATTTTTTCCTTAAAATAAGTAACTTTTTACTTTTTGAATTTTTTTTTTTTTTTTTTAAATAACTTTTTTAACTAATATTAAAATCTTTATAAACCTTACTAAAGTAATTGTTAAAATTATTTTAAACCATTAAAAAATATTAAAACGATGAAAACCATTAAAAAAAATTATTATAGTCATTTTAAACCGTAGCAAAGCAATAATTGAAACCAATCTAATTCGTAAATAGTACTTTTTAAAATCAATTAAACTGTCAGAATTTATTTTTTTCAAACAATCAAAAGTAGTTATCAAAACTATTTTAAAACATTAAAAATAATTGTTAAAACCATTTAAACTATAGCAAAACAGTTATCAAAATCCTTTTAAACTATAAAAATAAGTTAATGAATTTATTATAAACCAGAAAAAATATTTTGTTTAAATCATTTTACACCATAGAAAATAAATATTAAAATCACTATAAACCATCGGAAAATATTAAACTCTTTTTAAACCATAGAAAAAAATTACTAAACCATGGAAAACAATTACTAAAATTATATTAAAGCAAAAAAAAGTAATTGTTGAAACCATTTTAAACTAAAAAACGCGCTAAAATATACTGTGATTATAGTTTCACTTACTCTAGCACATCACCTATGGTTCCGAAATACTTGTTGTTGTGATTAATAGCTTCTAAACTAAACTGTGTCACTTTAGTTTAGCAGCTACTGATTACAACAACAACAATAACAGTTTTGACGATTGGAATTGCAATTATTTTAATTATAGTGTTTGTTTAAAAAATTAGAAAAATGAAAATGATAGTTTCAAAGATAGTATGTTTTATTCTTATAACTTTTTTTAGCCCCAACATGCATTGTTTCTTGTAATGGTACAAATACATGTGCTGGTAAGTTGTTTAATTTTTTTTTGTTTTTAACTTTTAAACATGAAAAAAATATTTGTGTCTATATTGTATTTTAGAAATGGATTTTTTTTAAAATAAAAAACAGAACTTAATAAAAATGTGTATATATATATATATATATATATATATATATATATATATATATATATATATATATATATATATATATATATATATATATATATATATATATATATATATATATATATATATATATATATATATATATATATATATATACATATATATATATATATATATATATATATACATATATATATATATATATATATATATATATATATATATATATAGTATATATATATATATATATATATATATATATATATATATGAGTGGACCACTGTTTTTCTCATCGCTTACTCAGTGAACAATAAGTAGCAGCCACTAAAAGTGGATAGCCAATGAATAAACACTTTTAAAATTTTGAAAAAGTATCGACTTGTCCTTTAAAGCGGATGCTACGAATGGTCTGCAAAGTAACCAATGAACAAAACTTTAATGAACCGCTAAAAAACGCCCACATAGGTCCAATGCAAAGCCACTAAAACAAAGTCTGGGTATCTGCTGTAGTTCATATTAGTTAACATTACAGTTTAGAAGAAATAAATTGATTAAACTATCAGTTTTTAAATTTATTACGAAGGTTACAAGCAATTGAATGAAAACTAAAATTACTTTATTAGTTGTAAGAACTAAACAAATATTCATTGTTTTCTAAACTGACCGCTAAGTTAAAACTCTAACACTTCTGATTTTTTAGCATTCAATCAATAATATTTATAAGTAAACACTACTTTGATTGTCTGAAAAAACAAAACTAAATGCTAAATATACATACTTTCAAAATTAATTGATGTTTTTACTATACTAATATAGTTTTGAAGTTTTTGTTTGCATATAAATGTAAAACGTTCAGAAATGAACATTTAAAGTTTTTAATTTTAACAAAAATATCTGTACCCATTTCTAAGTTATATACAGCTGATTTTACCAGTGAAAACTCACGAAAACAGTTTCGTAACAAATATAGTAAAATCCCAGCCGGCAAATAACGTTGAAATAACGTTTAACTATCGTTGAAACCTAACGTTGAATTTACATCGATTTAACGTATAGAATGAAAGTTTTTTTCAACGTTGATTTATCAACGTTAAATCAACGTTAGATTTAAACGTTATATCAACGTTGATTTGACACAAAAAAACGTTACAATAACGTTTAACTTACGTTGATTCAACGTTTAGAATGAAAAAATTTTCAACGTTGATTTATTAACGTTTAATCAACGTCAGGTTCAAAAGTTATATCAACGTTGATTCGACGCGAAAAAACATTACAATAACGTTGAATTAACGTTGTTGCAACGTTTAAAACTGTTATAACACCTTTTCACCATCAAAACGTGCTATGTATGTCAAAATGTATGTATGTAAACGTGCTATGTGCGGTAAAATGTGATCACCATCAAAACGTACTAAATCTATTCATAGTCTATATTTACACTATTTAGAGCATTCTCAGTTTAGTTTGGTTAAAATAGCTAGGTATGCTTAAAAAAAGAGATAAATCTTGTTTTATTGAAAAATATATCTAAATATTTCATATCTTTACATATAATTGAATAAAATCTACACATATTTCTTCTCTTTTTAACCACCTTTTTGAAATAGAGCGTAATTTAGAAAGTCAAACAATGTTTCATTATCCAAGGTTTTTTTTGGTCCATTGAATACAATAGAAGAAGCTGTTAATAAAAAATATTTTTAAAAAAAATCAGAAAGGGAATATTTAAAAAAAATATGAATGGAAAAGTAATAAAACTTATGAAGGTATATCTTTTTCAACGCCACATAGATCATGATGTACTTAAAATATATTTTTCCACTTTTGCCTTTCATATCCGTGGAGGCCATATAATTTTTCGAAAATACTCTGAATTTTTAAAAGAAAAGATAACTGTTAGTTGGTTATTATTAATTTTTTCAAATATTTTATTTAAACAAAACAACCTTTTTTGAAAACAAATTAGTAATCATAATATAAAACTTTCCTAGCATTGAAGAGTAATTTTCGGGGTAGCCACATAAAATTTTATAAGAAAGTTTTAGGTAGCTATTTATTGTTGGTTTAACGTCCATGTTTATACACTTATGGGGCAATGACAGGGGTTAATTAGTGTCATTTTTTATGTTAAATAGCGTGCATTTGCTAAAGCAATTTTTTACAATTTCATGCACTTTAAGGAGTTAACAGTTTTGTAGACCGAGAATGGGTAATTTGAATGTACTTCCATTTAGAATTAAAAAAAGAGGAGTTAACAGTTTTAATCAATTTTTTTACCTTTTAAGAAGATAATAGAGGATTTTAGAGCTGGTTTTTAAAAAAAGAGGACTTTAGAGAATTTTAGAGGAGCTGTGGTCACCCTGATTATAAATGAGGTAAGAGTCCAATACTGTTTTTGATTACCTCAGCACAATTTTGTGTATTCTATTTTTAGAAGGCGTTCCACCAATTAATTGTAATTGACTTATCTGTAAAAAGCATAAAGTAAATCTATTATTATGTTTATGGAAATATATTATAGGTGGAGAACAATCCAAACCGCACAAGTGGAAACCTGAATGCAAATTTTGCATCCAGGTTTTCAATTTTTGATAACTAAACCTGTAAAATATAACTACTTGTTTATAGTATAAATTCTGAAACAAATAAATATTTTTTAGGCATAAAAATCAAAATTTATATAACCCAAGCACATAAATTAATACCTACTTGGTAAATATTCAGGTAATTCTCTTTGTTTATGTTTCCTTTTTTGTAAATCAACAATCTAATTATCACATTTTTCTTTTGTAGTTGTGAATTTAAAATTTTCACAAAACTGTTTGGCTTCTTTGGAATAAAAATAGTTATACAAATAGTTATATATTTTGTATCAAAAAAATAACTCTTCTTACCACATTATTTAAAAAATAATAATTGTAATTTATAGATGTAATACCTGAAAAGAATTTAATTTTTATTTGTAGAAACTTTAGCCAATTCTTCTCTGCATTTTAGTGCAGTCAATGCTTTCGTACCTGGAAGCTAACAAACAGTTTTATCACTAAACCAATTAGATAGAGTTACTTCTTCTTGTAAATCTTCATTTCAAACAGCTCCTTTCCACATATTTGATTTTAAAGACTACATAAACTAATAAAAAAAATGAAGAAACCATAATACAAGTGCATTAACAGGCCTAATTAAACTAGCTAAATCTGAACATTTTATAATCATAATACTTGCTAAACAATAATATTAGTAGACATTATTAGCAAAGATAAAAATATATTTATTTTATAAATTTACTATATTTTAAAATCATTTTTAATAATATATTTATTACTCTATTATTCAGCAGAATTTTTGGCTCTAATTTTTCCAAAAAAATTTAAAACTAAAAGTAAATAATTAGTAATTTTAACTATAAATATCTATATAAAGGACACAATTTATTTTTATAATACAGAAAAAAAATCAAAATTTTTTTCTTGTATGTATGTATTTCATTAGTAGAAGAAACGAGGTCAATAATCTTAGAGGTCGGGATTAGTTTGGCGAAAAAAATATGACATAAAGGAGTTATCATAAAACAGAAACAAGGTCAGTAATTTTTTGACAACTTCAAAGTGTTTTAGGTCGGCAGTAAGGTTGGCGTTGCCGAATGCCGAACCCTTACCACAAGGGTTTTAAGTATAAACAGATACATATAAATATATACATATATACATATATATATATATATATATATATATATATATATATATATATATATATATATATATATATATATATATATATATACATATATACAAGTATATACATATATATATTTATATATAAATATATATATATATATATATATATATATATATATATATATATATATATATACATATATATATATATATATATATATATATATATATATATATATATATATATATATATATATATATATATATATATACATATGTATATATATATATATATAAATATAAATATATATATATATATATATATATATATATATATATATATATATATATATATATATATATGTATATATATATATAAATATATATATATATATATATATATATATATATATATATATACATATATATATATATATATATATATATATATATATATATATATATATATATATATATATATATATATATATATATATATATTTATATATATAAATATATATATATATATATATATATATATATATATATATATATATATATATATATATATATATATATATATATATATATATATATATATATATGTATGTAAAACCCTCGGGATAAAGGTCCACATTCGGCAATGCCAATCTTACTGACCTAAAAGACTTTGAAGTCGTCAAAAAATTACTGACTTCGTGTCTGTTTTATAATAACTTTTTTAAGTCGTATATTTTTTTTTTTGCCAAACTAATGCAGACCACTAAGAGTATTGACCTCGTTTCTCCTAATTATGATAACTCCTTTATGTCATATATATTTTTTGATACCTCTAGATAAGATTGATGATACCTCTAAATAAGATTTATGAATTGCTAGACATAAGGTGCATTGATACTTCATCTAGATCTTTGATATTGGAACCTGTAAAATTTCATTACTATTTTTTGCAGTAAAATTTACAATAACTCACTTATTTTTGAACAAAAAATCTAACTTCTACTAAATCATAATTCAGGCATATTAAATTATTACCTACTTGGAAAATAATCAGGATATTCTCTTTGTTTATGTTTTTTTTTTTTTAAAAAAAAAAATCAACATCCTCATTGTTTATCCTCAGTTGTTGTGAATATAAAATTTTCACATTATTTGTTTTCTACAGAATTGAAATAGTTACAAAAAAATTTTCTTTTTAGCTTATTATTAAGATTTAAA